CGTTCAGATATATTTACATGATTTTCATACACACACACATGCAGATGTAATGCCCCTAATTCTTTTCTAGGACATCCTATAGCTCATATGGACTCGTGTGTGCGATATAACACATGCTCTGATACCACTCCCTCACGACCCAAACTCGCTCTTATGGGTTTAGTGTCGTAACCGACAAGTAATCGTGGGATTACCAAAGGTCTCTAAACAAATTAAACAAAATACAGGGGCTAACGGAAACAAATACAAACATATAATATCCATAGAGCTGTGCAGACATATATGGGACCGAAAATTTAGAAACTTATATTTACATATATATGATATCATCAGAATGTTAGCCTTTCGTCATCATAGATACAGATAAACCAAAAGCTTGTCCAAACAAACAAAGAAAACAACTTAAACTTAAACTTGCATCATGTCCACAAAACTCGACCACATGACATTTCGGAACCTCCTCGGGAGGCACACTGGTTATCTGACTCAAACAGATCTCCAGCCAATCCTTACTGAGCCTGGTCCTCCGCTTGATCACCCATATATATAAATAATACAGTGAACTGGAGCCTAGTGGATAACAACATAGTAAAAGGTTTATGAATGATGTCCATCACAGATTCAAAAATTAGAGTTCATATCAGAAACAGATCCAGATTCACATGCTTATACAGAATTCGTAAGCAGTTATATGTGGTACATCCATTAGCTATCAGATTAGATTGGTCATAAGATCCACATGCATAGTCAGTACCGACGACCATAAAAGGTCAACATCTTTGTGCGCAAATAGCCATGGTATTGTTACCCCAGGTGAGGGCCACGTAAACATAAGCCTCGGTATTGTTACCCTCGGGCAAGGGCCACATGAACATAGATCTCGGTATTGTTACCCCCGGGCGAGGGCCATATGAACATAAGCCACGGTATTATTGCCCCCGGGTGAGGGCCACGTGAACTATGGACGCCACAAATACATTTCAGAAAAATAGACATTCTTTCATGATTCATAAAATATTATTTCAGAAAACAGATTGTATCATTTCAGTCAGAAAATACTTATAATCAAACATAGCTTTATAGAATTGTTACTAACAGATAGCTCCAGTAGCAGAACCGGTCACATGAATAGAATAGATTGATTAGGCGGCCAACAACATGTGACCTATACAAACACGTAATGGATACACATTGAAACACACTCTCGGAAAACACTTAACTCATTTCTTTTCTATCTTGGTGTGTTTCTAATCCTTATTCTTATTATTATGTTTTAATTAAGGCTTAGGAATGCCTAAGATGCAATGAGGATGCTAAAATATAATTTGAAACACTTAGTCAAATTTGCTAAAAACAGGGTCTTCGCTTGAGCGCAACTTTGGTCGCTCGAGCGGTCTGCAAAACCCTGCAAAAGTACTGGTTGCTTATTTTATGCTCGACGGTCGCTCGAGCCAAAGATTGAGTAAACATGGGTTCACTCGAGCGCACACTTTGTCGCTCAAGCCATCGTGTAATTGTCTGCAAAACTTTTGGGAGCTCGAATTCTTCGCTTGAGCGCAAACTCCACCGCTCTAGCGAAGCCTGCGTATTCTGGAATTTTCAGATTGCACTCCCAGTTTCAAAACTTGATTTCAAAGCACCAAAACGCATACTTTCGGGCCAAAGCTTGAGAACATTTGTAAACTCATAGGACTTCATGAATTGAAAGCCGTTTCGCCAAAATCAAGCCCAAAAGCAAGTGAATTATTCAAAAGCAAACTTGACATTTTTAAAACATAACATGCAAGCAATGACTTGAAATCTTAGCTTCCAAAACACGCACAAATGGAGTGTTTTAAGTACAAAACCACAATGAACTGTCATAATATAACAAAAATAAGCTCTTGCGTGTCAGAATTTGTTGAAATCAAAACATAAAATCCATGAATTATGCATGCATGTATGTTATGATCTTCTTTCCTACTTTAGCTTAATTCTTGCATTTCTTAGCTTAACTCTCTTGAATTCATGCATTAACCAACTCAATTACAAGACTAAAGGTCTGAATTCTTACCTTAGGTGCTCAATTGTATGCTAGATGTTCAATTGATTGAGTTTCCAAGTCAAATTCTTCAACTTCCTTTAATTCTCTAGAACTCTCAAGCTTGAATTCAACCTGTCTCTCTCTCTCTCTCTCTATATATATATATATTTGAGCTCGAGAAGATGATAGGAAATGTTTTGCTAAGCTTGCTTTCACATATTTATAGGTTGGATTAACTTAAGCTAATTAAATAGGATTAGAGCTAAGCTAGTTCACTTTAATAATCATTTTATTCTAATTATTTCGTTCCGATTCGAATTTCAATTAAATCTACCACAAAATTCTAAAAATTGTAAATAAACACATAAATGGAGTTAATTTCGTGTTCGAACGCCAATAAAGCTTTCAATTCGCATAAGGTAACAGAAACATAAATAGATATTTCTATGACCGATAGATATAAGCACAATTAACACATAGCATATACAATTAACTCAGAATTTTCTCTTAATTACTTATTAGGCATTCTGAATCATAGTTTATTAGCTAATCACAGGTCGGGGTTGTTACAGGGTATCACTTGTTTGTTTAACACCTTTGTTTCTTGAGAAAGGAGCAAGTCAAGCGACCTCGATAAACCTTTAACTATAGCCTCTAAACCACAATCCTCTAATGATTCTGCGCAATGTGTGCCTAGGCCTTGCTCCTAGCCTATGAAAACAAAGTGATAGCAATGGTTGTATTGATGATGAATTATATAAGACTCCCTAATAGAGGGTATAAGGCATAGGGGAGTCATTACCCAACGGAGGGGCTTTTTGGTCAAGCCAAGAGGCGGTGTCAAACTACTCAAGCCATGTTGCTATTGAGTTGGGGTAGCTGAGCAGAGATACCTTGGCTTGAACGAGTGGAATTCATGGCCACGACTTGAAATGACCTATGGGAATGAAGCATAAAGGGATCACGGTGTGGCAGAGGAGCACTTCGCCGAACTAAGGGATTGTTGGGCCATGTTGGTAGTAGGGTGGCTAAGCAAAAGTGCCTTGGCTCAGCTGAGTATTGCTTTGGACCACGACTTGGGATTCCCAATCTTTGCTTCGTCTACTATGTGCATTGGCATGTGACTAAGGCATCGAGCTTGTTAATGGGCTAAGGTACCATACTCAGTGATTCATGTCCCTTGCTTAGGCTTGGGCACAACCTAATAGTTTATTTAGGAGATGTCGTGGCATTGCTGAGGGCTTGTCACATGGTCATATTTGTTAGACTGGGCTGACATGGAGCCCCCACATAATGGGATAATCCAGATACCCACACTCAAAAGGTGTCATCTTGAGCACTTGTCAGATATATGTCCAAATGTATCATATTATTACTTCAATTTCTTTTGTAGACTTTCATACACTGGGGGAACACTTGTTACCATCACTTAAACACAAATGAAATACATTGCAAGTTTGAAAAAAGTAATTTAGGATCCTATTTATACCTATTAATCTCTCATGCTCTAGTCTCTTTAATTTTAGGAATTCTAAAGTCCGCTCTAGTCTCTTTAATTTTACTTGGGCACAACCTAATAGTTTATTTAGGAGATGTCGTGGCATTGCTGAGGGCTTGTCACATGGTCATATTTGTTAGACTGGGCTGACATGGAGCCCCCACATAATGGGATAATCCAGATACCCACACTCAAAAGGTGTCATCTTGAGCACTTGTCAGATATATGTCCAAATGTATCATATTATTACTTCAATTTCTTTTGTAGACTTTCATACACTGGGGGAACACTTGTTTCCATCACTTAAACACAAATGAAATACATTGCAAGTTTGAAAAAAGTAATTTAGGATCCTATTTATACCTATTAATCTCTCATGCTCTAGTCTCTTTAATTTTAGGAATTCTAAAGTCCAAATTCTAAAATAGATATTTGGATATTTCTTTACATTTCTTTTTCATTATGTAGAATGAGAAAAATGATTTCTTTACTATTTTGATAATAATAAAATGTACATATATTTTGTCATGCAAAAATGAAGAATAGTTATTTTTTTAATGTATACATATGAAAAATTTACCTATTCGTGTCGTATCTTGATTTTCTATCTTGTAGTATCCTTTTTTTTTTTTTTTCTTAATAAATAATTTTAAGAAGGTTTGCATTGTATTTATTGAGGATTCTTTGGTAATGTCCTTTGCAAAAAGGGTTTTGGTCTTTAACGGGCGTGTTAAATTGGGCAATTAATTATGGCAAAAGGTTGGACCTGGAAGTACTGACCTTTTGGAGTGAATTTGAAGTGTTAGAAGGGGATTTTGAGATATGTGGTGAGTGGTGCCCTCATGCTTTTGGATTTTGAGAAAAGAGTGGAACAAATGTTCCTTTGAAGAAAGTAGAGATCCTTATTCTCTTGGCTCAAAGGGAGCTCCAAGTTTTGATATAGTCTTTTGCTCATCTTTTGGGAGCTATTGCACTAGTGCATAGTTTTTGAGATCCAGCTTTTGGGTTTTTGTACAGGGTTGGTGTTTGTTTGTATGTGATCGGTAAGTTCATGCTTAAGTGCTGTCCAAAGTGGGATAGGGCAGTTGGCCCAGTGGTGGATGTAGCTGTCCCTTGGAACAGTGAGAAAGTTAGAGGTTTAGGGTTTGAGTCGATGGAGAATTTTTCGTTGTAGTCTAACTTACTAACTCCCTAACATCCTATCATATGGCCAAAAAAAAGAAAAAAAACAGAGAAAAAAAGTGCTCTCCAAAGTGTATGGACTCATCTTAAGTTCCATAGTAGACTACATATTATTTTGTAGATGGACTAAAATATTGTAAATACAATATTGTTCCAAAAAAAAATAAAAATGCTGTGCTTGCAAGATCAAAGATGTTAACTTTCTTTGCCGCATCTAAATATTTAAAAGTGGTTCATATACTCTTGTATTTGATTGTCCACATAATATTCTGTAATTTCCTTGATGTACATGTTCAGATCAGATCTCTATGATATCGAGAGCAAATGAACCTGCAGATGGTGGCTCGAGAAAACCATGGCTTACAGCTATTCTGAAACATCTTCCAGTTTGCAGATATCATATGCGGCTTGATACTCCGGCTACAACTTGAAACGTTAAAGACATATTTGAGGGTTATAGTTTTCTCATTCCTTTTCTTGTGGGCCGATAACTATGCTTTATATTACTTAGAAATGAAATAATTACCCTATCATTAAGCTGCTTTTGCTAATTTGTTAAACTGTTTAGCTTTATTTGGGTACTATCTAAAAAAAAATAGAGCTTTATTTTGGAAAACTTATCTCTGTTTGAATTGCTGGATCAAGTAGCCACAGAATATCGATATGCTATATCATTGCCGTGTGTTCAGATATGGGGTCCAGGAGAACACACTCGTTAAAATACTTGTTTGAGGTAAACTTGATTAGAGGAATCCGTCCACCACTAAACTACACAGCCTACCTTAACCATTGTCAAAAGTCATCGTAAATTCCTCAAAGCTAAATTTTCATTGCTGGGTGGATGAACCTAGGAGTTTTTGTTGATAAGCCAACATAAAGTTCTTGTGCTCACATGTTTGTGTATACTTTTTCTTTCCGTGAAGTTCTTGTTCCAGACCCCATTCTTAGTCAATGGGCTGACTGATAGTTGAAGGGACACGATCATGATTTTGACTTCTAGGAAAGCCTGTAAGTGAAGGAAGGAATTGCTATAAGTTAAGATTTCAGAGAACTTGAGCCTGCACCCGAACTGGATAAGGAACCAAAGTAAGCCAGTAGTTCAGTTTTGGTACTCCAGTTCCAGCACTTGTAGAAAGAGGTAGGTTTGTCAGTTTAGTCGCATTTTTTAAGGCTTAGGGAGAGTGTGGTGCAGTTACAAATCTCTGACTACACCATCCCAAACACCTCCTCCCCACTTATTTTCCCCTCTTTTGTTGGTCAAAGCTAATGGTACAGGTTTATCCATCTATTTTGTAACTTCTGAGGCCTTTGTTAGCTATTTCTTGAGCATGTTTCTTCAGATAATTTTGGCTAAGCGTGAGATTTGTTCGTTAGTTTTATTTTCTTGTGAGTTTTCTCTACTATGCTGCTGCATGTCTTCTTGTACATTGATTATCCACACAAGGCAACTTTAGAAAACATGACATTGATATTAAAGGACTGGATAAACATTTATTTTCTTGTTTAGTTATTAAAATGAACATAGTGCTGCATCTATTTGAGGAATTTGTTGGTTAAACTAATGTCATTGGGTTTGTGAAGTGGGATCTTTTCTTTTAGTCACATGGTAAGATGTTAGATTATTATAACAGGCTGATGTCATTCTATTGACTCGATTTGATATTTAACCTCAATGCACTTAAGCACCCTCTTATGACCACTTGGACCTTGTGTACCCCATTTTGTTTATTCAAAGATCTTGAACAATGGCTGTTAAGAGTGGTGGTGCTAGGGACTCTATTTGATTGCCGAACTTAATTGAACTTAATTGAACTGTCCCTATCACCACAAGAGCACGAGATCTTCTATTTCAAAATTATTTGTCCAAGTCTGATGCAATTACAATCACATAATTTAATTGCTAATTTTAAAAATCAGATCATGGGACAGGATTCCACCTGGCCTACCCTTGTAGGCACGTAATGTTTTCAAAAATTTTAAGGTAAATTACAAATACACGTCTTGACGTTTGATTAAAATACGAATTACTTCTTGTGGTTTTGGAAATTACATTCTATCCCTTAGGTTTCTAATTTTATAACAAATCGCCTCTTTTATTAATAAATTATTAAGTCAATTAACAGTTTTTAATGATATTAGAAATATGTTTCAATTAATAATTTAGGTAATTTTATTATTGTATAGAAAAACAATTATGAATTTTATTTTTTTAGTTAATTCTGTTAAATAAAAAATTATGATCAGTGAGTATTCGTAATTTTTTAAATCACAGGGGGGCAATTTGTATTTTAAAAAAATCTTAGAGGGTGTATTTATAATTTATTCAAAATTTTATTTATTGGATCATGCCTTGGAATTTGTGTTTTAAAATTCTTGCATAATTTGATGGGTGATAATATTGAGATAGGAAGATATGTTCTTTGATCTTCAAGTGGCCGGTGGGGTTACTTGAATAAAATATATATATATATATATATATATATTGAGCATTTGAACAAACTATTATGTCAAGGAAGAAGAGCCTTATCTGATGTTAGACTTGGAAAGGAGTGACGGGAAGTCTTTGGTGCCTAATAATAATTGAAGTATATAAAACTCAACACAAAAAGAGAGTTGATAGAAAGTCATTTTCTAATGAATAAATCAAATATTTTTTTCAAGGGTTGTCCTTTTAGTGATCTTACTGCTTGTTTCCCAACCGTATTAAAGAATGCAAGTGTTTTATTTAATTACTAGTGTATGTCCGTGTCTAAAGGCACGGTGCAAATAATGATGAGATCAAATTGTAATTAAATATAAAATTATTGAGTTAAAAGGTAATTTATCCCATTTGTTGCTAAAAATTTGAATTCAAAATATGAAAAAGGTCTGGCTAGTTTTGAAAAGATTTTTTATTAAAAAAACTTGAAAATATTTTTAGTTGTATATTTTGAAAATAAACAATTCCCAATCAACTATTTAAAGTACGGCAAGTAACGCAATCATAAACATTTCATTTTTATTAAAAAAATTTATGACTCTAAAGTATGAACTTCATATCAATGCAAACATTAAAAATAAAAGCACCCTTGCTAAGCAAGTTAATAAAAAATTGTAAACACAAAACAAAACATACAAACCAAGGTCCCAAGAGATTTTAAAAAATGTATTCCCAGCACAATTTACACCACTTGGAAATAAGAAGAAACCAGGTACAACATACTAATTGTGCAGAGTGACCATATATATTTTGTTCAAACCTTATGTAACACAACAGATATATAAAATCATGGAAACGCCTATGTAAGGACTAAACACTACTGTAAATGTTTTGTAAGATACAACCCTTTTCTAATCACTGATAAATGTGAACGCATACAAGAAAAGATTTCAACTATTGAAGCAAGTATGGTTTTAACAATTATAATAGACATCATCAGTCAGACAATAAGGTATAATAGACCCTAAAAATCAAATAATAATAAAATTTCTTCCACAACATAAGGAGTTTATTCCCAAAACCAACCAACAATACAAAGTAAATGAAATAAAGAACATCTGTAGGTGTCCTGGTGGTGTGAAATCAATAATCTTCTGAACTTTTCAGTGTTTAAATAAACATCTAAAATTTTTTCATACACAAAATTGTAGAAAGCATACTGTTTTGAGCATTCCCTTTTAAGTGAATAAATCTTCCCTTTGTAGAGATGAACCTTGAGAGCAGTCTCAAAATGCAAAGCTCAAAAAGTATTGTTTTTCCACTTCCAGTTGGTGTTGAAATGACCATATTTACATCGGATTGGAAACAAGCATTCCCTCTGTAGCGAGTTAAAGTACCTATACAACAAATACAAATACAGAATCAATACCAATTACACCATGTATAGCACCAGAACAATATTTTAGGCGTTGTGGGTCAATTTCCTAAAGAAAATTTAGCATCATACATTGTTTGGAAGGCACGGTGTAAAGAAAATTTAGTGTATGTTCGTGCCTAAAGGCATGTTGTAAAGAAAACAAATGGGAAAAAGAAAACCACTCTTTAGATAAAGATTAAAAAAAAAGAGAAAGGTTTTAGAGGCATCCTTTGCCACTGGTAGCAACATCAATAGTAGGGAAGGAAGGGGATGCGGAGGAGGCACATGTGAGGCGGACAGAGTCGGTGATGGCTTAGGATGAACAACGGATGACAAACTGATGGAGGGAAAGAAGAGAAAGAGTCAATAGAAGATAGAAGAGGTATGGTGAGAAAGAAGAGAGAAATGGAAATAGTGAGAGAGTGAAAAAAATCTCAACCCTTCACTTTTTAGTTGGGATTATCTAAACCATTCTAACCAAATATAAGAGAGAAATATTTTCAAAATTTGCTATAACAATAAACTGCACTAACTACACAAAAATCAACTAAATGAACATCTATAAATCTAGAAACAATGAATCAAATGTGAAAGTTAAAAAATGAACTCATCAATAATGAAAATTTAGTGTTTGATTTTTCCTTGGACTTGCATTACCTTATTCACAAATCACAATAATATGTTTGAATATAGATATTAGACTTTTTTCAAGTGTACAAAGGTTCTAGAGTTCCAAATAGGAGACATGTTGCACATGATAATACATGTGTCAGCAAATGATCCTTCTAACTGAATCTTTTTATCAAGTGTTTTATATGCAACCAGTTGTGGCTAATACAAAAGACATGGAAGGCCAACTAAATAAATAAAAAAAACAGACACATTGAAGAAGAAATTATTTGAAAACCAACAATGAACAACAATGTGAGCTATGTTGCCAAATAAACCTTGGAGTTTGAATCATATTTAAAATTTTTGAATGAAAAATGAAGAAACTTACACACTTTAATATACCATTGCACTGATGGAACACATACTTGAGTCCCAGTGGCATAAGTCTGTCTGATAAACCATCACCAGGAAAAGTGTTTTGCACCCAGGCTCAATTTCTCATTGTATTCCAGTCAGTCAACTTCCTATCAGCACTGCAATTTTGATTTCGAACAGAATTCTTCATTTAGTTATCTAAAAAATAAAAAGAGCTACAATTGGTCTACCTTCTCATCATTATGTGTAAATCAAAGAGCTAGGAAACAAAATTAATGTAATAGAGGTAGAAAGGGAGGGGGGGAGGGGAAGGAAAAATAAAGATTAATCAATATCTGGAGTTGTAGACATGTTTGAATTTCTACATATTTTTAATAGAATAGAGAACAAAAGGGCAACTTTAAAATATAAATTTCACGGAGGGGATGCTCTTAAAGCTCAAACATGAAATGAGATCTGTTCCATAAGCAGAGGAACCTACCCTCATAATCCACTTCCCGTTGGACTCATCACCTAGGAGAAGAGAGTCCCAAAAGAACAATAACACACCAAACCATAACATTAAAAGCTGAAACAAAAGCTGAGAGAGAACAAAAAAGAATAATGAAATTGTGAGTTAACATAGCTGAAAAAAACAAAAGGGCAACTTTAAAATAGGACAACTTTAAAATATAAATTTCACGGAGGGGATGCTCTCAAAGCTCAAACATGAAATGAGATAAGTCCCATAAGCAGAGGAACCTACCCTCATAATCCACTACCCGCTGGACTCATCACCCAGGAGAAGAGAGTCCCAAAAGAACAATAACACACCAAACCATAACATTAAAAGCTGAAACAAAAGCTGAGAGAGAAAGAAGGAGAGGAGTGAAACAACAAAATCTGAGAGAAAAGAGAGAGTTTTAAATTTGAAATCAAGAAACCTATGCACTTTAAAATACCATTGCACTGATGAAATCAAGAAATCTGTTAATCACTTGAAGATACAAAGCAAGCAAGAGAGATGTGATATAGGATTTATGGATACAATCATGGAACTAATTCTCTTAAATCAACCTAATGAAAAGTGCAATAAAATAGAAGCACAAATGACAATTCAATTAAAGAAGAATGCATGGATAGTTTTCTTTTATTTAAACTTTAAATTTTGGTTCCCCCATGACTAAAAGGATATTCTAAAAAATTACCGTAAGGATGCTCCATATATTAGATTAGAATTCCTTTTAAAATTATGTTGCCAAACTATAAAACAATATGTGCAACATATGGGTTGTGTTGAGCCATGATACCACTATCTATCATCCCATAAAAACAAATTGAATTAATGATTGGGATCCATTCCACTAATGTAAAGATGATGATAAGATAAACAAATTTACTTATCACACTATTACTTGTTTGTAAATGGGTATTGGACGTTAAAAAAAAAATTTAATATAATGGTGATATCATATTAAAAAAAAAATTGATCATATCATTGAATTTTTATTTTGTGGATGATGTAGCCATTTTATTGTTCTTGGTTACATTGTTTTACCAAGAGATAGTTGTGTATCGTTTGTGAATTCGAACTCAAATTTGGAGGAATTGTTAAATACTCTATTATCCTCAAATGCTGTACAATTCTATGAACCGAACATCTATGAGGAAAACAAAAAAGAATAATACAATTGTGAGTTAACATAGCTGAAAAAAACAAAAGGGCAACTTTAAAATATAAATTTCACGGAGGGGATGCTCTCAAAGCTCAAACATGAAATGAGATCAGTCCCATAAGCAAAGGAACCCACCCTCGTAATCCACTTCCTGCTGGACTCATCATCCAGGAGAAGAGAGTCCCAAAAGAACAATAACACACCAAACCATAACATTAAAAGCTGAAACAAAAGCTGAGAGAGAAAGAAGGAGAGGAGTGAAACAACAAAATCTAAGAGAAATAACTTACTGGAGTGAGCTCTGATGGGGGAAAGAACGAAACAACAAAAGCTGAGGGAGAAAAGAGAGAGAGTTTTAAATTTGAAATTAAAAAACCTATGCACTTTAACATACCATTGCAGTGATGAAATCATGAAACCTGTTAATCACTTGAAGATACAAAGCAAGCAAGAGAGATGTGATATAGGATTTATGGATACAATCACGGAACTAATTCTCTTAAATCAACCTAATGAAAAGTGCAATAAAACAGAAGCACAAATGACAATTCAATTAAAGAAGAATGCATGGATAGTTTTCTTTTATTTAAGCTTTAAATTTTGGTTCCCCCATGACTAAGAGGATATTCTAAAAAATTACCGTAAGGATGCTCCACATATTATATTAGAAGTCCTATTAAAATTAAGTTGCCAAACTATAAAACAATATTAGAAGTCCTATTAAAATTAAGTTGCCAAACTATAAAACAATATGTGCAACATATGGGTTGTGCTGAGCCATGATACCACTATCTATCATCCCATAAAAACAAATTGAATTAATGATTGGGATCCATTCCACTAATGTAAAGATGATGATAAGATAAACAAATTTACTTATCACACTATTACTCATTTGTAAATGGGTATTGGATGTTAAAAAAAAAAAAAATTAATATAACGGTGATATCATATTAAAAAAAAATTGATCATATCATTGAATTTTTATTTTGTGGATGATGTATAGCTATTTTATTGTTCTTGGTTACATTGTTTTATCAAGAGTTGTGTCTCATTTGTGAATTTGAACTCAAATTTGGAGGAATTGTTAAATACTCTATTATCCTCAAATGCTGTACAATTCTATGAACCGAACGTCTTTGAGGAGAACAAAAAAGAATAATGAAATTGTGAGTTAACATAGCTGAAAAAAACAAAGGAATCGGTGACTTCTTTCCTTTCTCTTTGATATCAAACACAGATATTAACAATTTTTATACTGGAATGCAATATTTCAAATAAGAAAAATTAGAAATCAAGAAATTTATTGAAATCAAAACATCAAATCCAAAAATTGAGAGTGAATACTCACTGTCTCGCGGATAAGAACCGAACCGAAACTTCGCTGATACAATGATGCTTCCTCGACAATGTTAAAATTTCCTGTTCAAAAAAAAAAAAAATATTGTCGAAATTTTGGAGGGAGGTTAACACCATAATAATTAAATCTCATTCTCCAAGCCAAGTCAGGCAATGGCGAGGAAGATTGAAGGTGCTGTGATTGTGTGAAACCACATTTATAAATTGAAGGTACTTTATGGGTACTTTTTTAGGGAAAAAATTCGTACACACAATAACATGAATATAAACAACAACAACAACAACAACAACAACAACAACAAAAACATCCAATTGAATATAATCGAATTTCACGATGAACTAAAAAAAACCCCTAAAATTAACCAAACAACATTAGAAATCGCAATAATTCATATGTAGATACAATTAAACAATAGACACAACCCGACAGAGAGAGGCAGGACACGAAGAACTCAAAAAAAAAAACCTTAAATTAACCAAACAGTATTGTAGACACAAATTTTAAAACATGAAGTGTTTCAACACATTTCAAAATTTTATGTTACAAATGTCCACTGTTTAGTTTCTTGACTAAACAGTGTTGATTATTTGAATAGCAGGTTCTTATTTCCGATCTGTATATCAAATCGTTAATTACACATTTTATGCAAAATGAAACCTCTAATTAATGAAGAACAAAATAAACAACAAAAGACAATTTTAAAAAAAAGGAAATATTTTATTGCGATTGTTATGGGTTTTGAACCCTCGAATACAAAATACAATTTGGGTTTGGAACCCTTTACCTATTCATCGCCATTAGCATAGGTTCTTGAATTCTCTAGGCTTCTCTTCTTCTTTCTTGTAACGATTTGTTTAGCTCTCAATTTCTTTTTCTCTCTCTCTGATCTTTTTCACTTCTGATTTTCTCCTCCGCGTCTTGTGTGATGGTCCTCATATTTATGGAGGGCCATCAGGTGATAGGAACGCTTCATCTTCATTTTGAATTTCAAATTGAATGATAGCGCCTATTTGAATTTTGAATAATAGCGCTATCTGATTAATCGTATATCTGATTAACCGGATTGATCTTTGGGGTTTCATCCTGTGTGGTGTCCTTACTGTAGGCTCTACAGGTGTCATTTTTCGTAGGCTCCACGTGTCATTTGAGTATCTTGAATAACGTCGTTAAGAGACAACGTTGTTTTATTTATACACTTCAACGGAGCAAGTTAATCATTTTGGGAAGTGATTGCCTACAACAATCTTATTGTAGGCTCTATGTGTGTCTTTGACTGTATTTGAAATTTAAACATAAATTTGGTTTAAAATTTATGTGCCAACAAGTATCAGAAATCGCAACAATAAAAAAAACAAGCAGCCCGACAGAGAGAGAAGGGAAGAGGTAGAAATCGAGGACTATCTAGCGTATGCCCGTGCCTGAAGGCACGGCGTAAATAATGTTCGGTGTAAATAATGTTGGGATTAAAATGTAGTTATAATTTCTACATATAATGTCAATTAATTAATTAATTTAATGCATCCTCAACATTTAATTAATCATGGGGAACATGAATATATTAGAAACAGTGTATGCTGCCACCACACATAAGCCAATTTTGTTTGAATAATTGTAGGTATCATTAAAATTTAGGAAAAATTAACCAAAAAAAAAAAACTTAAAATTTAATACTTGTAACAAAATAAACTATTGAGTTTTTAATTTTATAAATTTAAATATTAAATTTCTGATTTATTTTCAATCTAAACTATTTGTATGTTTTCAATCTAAACAATCTGAGATCTTTTACGTATTTTACTAAATAATAAATAATAAATTATAAATAAATACCATTAACAATCCAAGCAATTTGTCGGTAGGAAGAAGTAGTCATCAGTCCTTTGCGGGGTCTGTCTTTCACATATTTTTTTTGCATTCCTATTGAAAAAAATAATAATATATGAACACATTTTGCATTCCTATTGAAAAAAAAAAATATATATATCAACACAATTTGAATAGCACATAAAATAAATAAAGATGTGATAGTGGCCAAGAATTTGAAAGCGCAACACAATTAAGAAAACCGACCACTATCTCTTTTCTTACTCTGTTTCTTTTCAATTTCTTCACCATGTCTTCAACAGGGATGAAGAAATAGTCCATGAATTATGAGTGAAAATTTAAATTGAGTTATAGAAATAAAATAAAATGAACACTCTATATTAAAATACACCAAACAATGCACATCAGCCAGTATTCTGCGATTAAAAAAAAAAAACAAATTAAAGTTAAATACCAACCAACGCACACCAGCTATTGCTCTGCAATCTAAGAAAATTAAAATTGAAATGCACACCAACCAGTGCTCTGCAATCTAAAAAAATTAATTTAAATACCAAGCAATGTACACATGCTAGTGCTACTGCTGCAAATCACATTATAATAGTTCTTTGCAAATTATAAACCTGAAACTACGTGAGAAAAATATAGGAAAAATAATAATAATTTAACTTCCCTACAAACAATGTGACATGAGAAAAATGTACTTCCAACACAATCTGACATCAACCAAAAACCTACAAATGTTATGCAAACTTTCAGATATAACTAATTAAGTTGAGAAACAACTAATATACATAGGCAGTTCAATATAAAGCTAGACATTGGGTCATTGAGCAATCAACAATATTTTTTGATTAATACTAAATCACTTGTACATTTTTTTAGCAATACTAAATCACTTGTACATCCATGAAATTACTAAATCACTTGTATATCCATGAAAAATACTCAATCACTTGTGCGAAAAATAGCAACCTTACAAAAAGTAGCAACCATACATACATAGCAGTCAAATGTTTTTTTTCCAAATCACTTGTACATCTTTTGAGAATTTAAAACGAATAACAAAAAGTCAACTCGTCTCTCCACTTTTCGAAGTAAAACCATTGATAGCAAAATCGATAATAAAATCTAAAAATTAATAGGAAAATTGCAAATCAATAGTAAAACTTATCAACTTTAATAATTTAAGTGATAAAGTTTCCCATAATTTTGCAAATTTTTTTGGTCTTACCACTGATTTGCAATTTTTCCAAAATTAATTCTAGTAATTAAGTGTCACGGATAGAAAATACTTAATGGGTTACAATCAAGATGTGAAGAAATAAAAATATTAAAAAAAATGACTTACCCTGCAATTTTCGTAAGCAATCTTGGTGAAAATTCTACAAAGATACTAAGATCTTTTTTATCCCCAATCAGGCATGGGTCATTCGCTATTTTAATTCATTTTCATATAAGACAATTAGCGAATGCCTTGTGCCTAAAAATATTCCAAAAGGAAAGAAGAAAAAAATATATCTAAGCATGCTTTCTATCAATTCTTGCATACCGTAGCTCATGAATTGTTTGTATGATTTCAAATAAATATATCAAATGGGTTATGAGTTCGAAAACAGTTATGATTAAAAATTAATACTGTAATTGCTAAAAAAAGGCAATCAATAGACTATGCTCAATTAAGCGGTCCTAAACAAAAACAATAATTTTCATTAGATCACTCAAATACAAAATAGATGAAAATCTGATCAACAAATAAAAGCTGATAGAAAATGAGATTAGAAGAAAACTAAAAAGTTAATTGGAAAGCAATTTGAAAATTCAATATTAATCATTTTTCCTTTCAAAATGACACCAAAATTAAAATTGGGCAATTCCATCAGCCAGACTCCTCTTGGTTAAAGTAGATAGCATAATAATAAGAAAACAAACAAAAAATCAATAACTACGGACCTCTAAAAAAAATAAAATAAATGACTATGAATTAAAACATGTATAAGATACCGTACCAACAATGACTTGCAACTTGCTATTGCTCCACCAGTTCCATAAGACATGTCTAAGTGTCTCCAAGAAGCCAAATATGCCTTGATTAACATAATGACAAATAACTCAGCCTTCTACAATCGTAACGGTTGCCAACAATGAATTATCAAAAAATAGCAAACCAGCTTTGTAAATTCAAACAACTTTATGAAATGATTGATCACTACCAGTGGGAAAAGAACGGAGTGGTACAACACCTAGCCTGGAATGTGGTTAAAATTTAGGTTTACATAGCCTACACGAAAAGTGATAAAGAAGTCATAAAGAAGTCAAAAATACTAATTTTCTTTTCATGACATTCTAAATTCATGTTGACACAACTTATGGTTTCAGTATATTGCATTGGGTTTTATTGTGTTTTAATGGAAACAATAGAATTTTGGTATTCCATTGGTGTTTCATTTCAGTTTCTTAAAAAATTAAAACATTTTGGCTGTTTTAGTGGAATCAAATAGAAATATTAATCCTTACCAATGCGTAAAAAGGGGTATATATCAGTCACAGCAGGGCATCCATAGGATAGACTAAACAAGTACACAAAAGACCATATCCTTATTCAGGCCATAACCAAGAGTTGAATAGGTCAATAAAGCTCAAACCCATCTCCCATAATTCAAAAAATCACAAACTTTAATACACCAAAAAAATAATAATCATACAATTACATAAAATTATATTCATGCCCTTACCTTCTGTTTGAGTCTCAGATTTATCTTTGCAAGAATTGAATGCTCCAAAACAACTCATCTCTTTCACTCACAAACACTTCTGATAGGGATTGAAATCTCTTAAATCCAACACCTACCTAATTTTCCAACCACACAAACACTTATCTAATTAGTCACCAAAAGACACATCATTGACAATAACACCAAAACCCACATCGATCAAATCAAATCAAGACCAAACCTGTGTTTTTCAGAGCGATTTCAATCGAACCACGTTACGCAAGTAACAAAACCCAGATGGGTTTGGTCGATTAAGAATTCGAGAGCGATTGCACGAATAGAAGAATTGGGAAAGACCCATACCATCTTCGGAACATCCTCCCTCTTGATTGGGTTTCTAACCCACAGCAGGGAGGATAGCTGCGTAGAGAGAGAGGAGGCAGAGATCAAGGCAGATGGTAGAAATCACCACCGGGGCTACATTCCAAAAATCACCATAGGAGATCAAACTTGTAGAGAGAGAAAGCTTGGTGGAAAGAGGAAGATGTGTGGTGGGAAGAGGAAGGAGAAGAGGAAGAGGTATGAGAGAGAATGGAATTTCAAATTTTGAAATCAAAATCAGAGAGAGAAACAATGAAGACATCTATGTGATTTAATTCTGAGGGTGAGAAAAAAGGAGAGAGATAGAGAGGGAACCCAAGCATTAATATTTACCCAAAGTGATCTCAAGTATTGATATTTACCCAAACTGATCTCAACCATTGAACTGTCCAAAGGAGAGTGAGACATTTTCAACCATTGGATTGAATCAATCTAATGGTGTATATTTTGACAAATAGACAAAAGTCTTATCAAGATTCAAAAACCTTCCTCCCTTATTATATAGATATACTGTTAGGGTGTGTTTGTTTTGAAGGATTAGGGTGTGTGATTGGACAATTAGTCTCACCGGACTGACAGTCTATTGTTTGTTTCATTTTTTTTGCTCCGGACTAATAGTGCCCTCGGACTATTAGTCCCATATTTGTGGGACTATTCTATCCCATGGAGGAGATGGGATTGTTTCCATAGGATTGGTATCTCATGGGATTAGGTTCTGAAATATCCATTTTACCCCTATGCTATTACTTAGCAAACAATTAGAAAAGGGTAAAATAGTCTTTTGAACATTTATAAATTATTTTTTAGTGTTGTTAATTTAAAATTGTATATTAAATAAAAAATTTAAATTATAAATTATAAATTAAATTTAATTAAAAATAATAAACTATAAATTATGGCCTTATAAATTAAATTTTTTTAGTGTTGTTAAAAAATTAAATTTACATATTAAATTAAATTATTTTTTTGGTGTTGTTAATTTAAAATTATATATTAAATAAAAATTATAAATTATAAATTTAATTTAATTAAAAATAATAAATTATAAATTATGGCCTTATAAATTAAATTTTTTTAGTGTTGTTAAATTATAAATTATAGATTACAAATTTAAAATTATATATTAAATAAAAATTATAAATTACAAGGGTAAAATAATCTTTTGAATATTTATCCTTATCCAGTCCGTCTAACCAAATATTAGATTCACTAAAAATAGTCTAATTCAGATATCTAATCCCATGACTAAACAAATATAGGATATAAATCTAATTTAACCAAATAGTCCAGGGACAATGTATCCCGAGACAAACAGTCCGATGAATTACAATCCTTCCTTATCCAGTCCGTTCAAACAAACACACCCTTAGGATAAGAACATGTATGTCTTTTATTGATAGTCCAAATATACTAAACCAAAACTTTGTAATCTCATTGCTTCTACTTTAATTTTCTTTCCGTTTCAAAACCCTTAACCCATTAGTTTAAAAATAAATAAATAAAAATAAAAAAACCATAACTTTGGCTTCGATCATATAGATACCATTTATGCATCGATGTGTTACAATAACAATGTAGCCTATGAATGGATAAAGACTTATCTCTATTTTATATATATATATATATATATGTTGAGTTTTTTTTTCTTAATATTCTAAAAAAGAATAATTTAGTGAATTAACTCACTTTTTAAATTATTTGAAAAACTAACCTGGTTTTTGAAATCGCATTTTGAAAATGCGATTTTAAAATTGAAATTACATTTTTAACATGTAATTTCACCTTGAAATCGCATGTTGAAAATATAATATATCTTAGTGAAGTCCATGTCATCATAAATTATATTTTCAAAATGTGATTTTAAAAAGTAGGTTAATTTTCTAAATAATTTGAAAAGTGTGTCGATTATCTAAATTGTTTTTTTTTTAAAATTGTAAAAAAAAAACTCTATATATGTCCATACAAAAAAGTACAAATTTGAAAGAAGTTAATGTGTGGGATCTTAATTACTAAAATTATTCCGTAGTTCTTAAGTAGTAACTCAGTTTGTGATTTTCTTAAATCAATAAAATCAATAATTACAAAATAAGGGAAGCTTAGCTTGACTTGACCCAATTCGATTAGCTTGATAGACTAAACTTGTAGACCGAACTAAACTACAACAATTCAAAACAAGTACCCAACTTAACTTAAAAATTTAACAGCAATGATAGGGATCATTAAAAAATTTCATCACTAATAACTCTAATGAGTTGGAAAATATAAAAAATAAAAGAAAAAAGAAAAACACAAGAGACAACCATCACATCAAAGTGAGAGCCACCTCATTAGTGCTCCCTAGTGCTCCCAAGCATTAATCAAAATTTAATTCATTAACTTTTATGATATTTCTTTTATAATTATAAATGTTAGTCACGAAAGGTTACTATCCATCCACACCTTTAAAAATATGTATGATGTTTTTTTATAATATGCTATGAAAATTTATAATATAAATTACAAAATAATATAATTTTGGATAAAGACTGGTAGCTCGAAAATCGTAGCTCGAAATCGGCTCGAATTGCAAAACGACGTTGTTTTGCAAATCGATTTTTTTTTTCTTTTTCTTTTTCTTTCTTCCTTTTCTTCTTCTTCTTCTTCTTCGTTGAAACCAGAAGAAGAACAGAGGGGAAGAGGAGAGAGGGAGCCTCCGCCGCCTCCGCCCGCCGTCCTCGTCGCGAGGAGCTCGTCGCCTCCGCCGCCTTCGCCCGTTGCAGAAGCTCCGATTGTCGCAGCCCCGCCGCAGCTCGTCGCAGCCCTGCCTCCGGCCCCGACTCCTCCCGCCGCAGCTCCGCGCAGCCCCGCCTCCGGCCCCGACTCCTCCTCCAGCCATTTTTATGGCCCCCTCCCCTCCCTCCTCCTTCCTCCTCCTCCTCCTCCCTCCTCCTTCTCCTGCTGAAAACAAAAATCGAGCCACTCTCGAGCCACAAAATTTGAGTTACGAATCACTGCCGTATAATTTTTTCATCATAAAAAATAGTACTTCTCACTATCTCCAAAAAAGTAACAAAAATAATAATATAAAAATGTTGGAAGTTTTAAATTTTTTACCAAATACTTCCATAGGTGTAGATCTTATACTTATGTGAGTATTTGATGAAAAATTTTGGCCTTGTTTGGTTTGATTTTGAGAGAGTAATTTTGGAGAAATTTTTTCAAAATTTTGTTTGGTTTAGTGATTTTGGAAAAAAATTTCAAAATCACTCACTCTCCTATACATCAATCAATCATTTTTTCTCTCTCATCTCTCATTATCAATCACCTTTTTCTTATACACATCTAGTCAACTATAACAAAATATTAAATCATTCTAAACTCCCATACTCTAAAATTATTTTCAAAATATACAACCAAACAAATTAAAAAAATTTATAAACTCTCTCTCTTAATTTTTTTTTAAAAAAATTATCTCCCAAAACCAAACCAAACATAACACAACACACCCAAAGAACATTGCTCATAATAATATCAACAATGATTTAGACCACTAAAAACTACACCACTAATAGCACTAATACATTGGGAATGACAAAAAAATAAAAATAAAATAAAAACAAGGCATAGAAAGTGGCCGGGGCCCACTGCCACATCATTAATGCTCTCTTTAGTGATCCCTTTTTAGTGCTCTCAAGCATTTTTCTAATAATATTTATAACCATAAACTATAAATAGTGGTAACTTAAGCTGTGTTTGGATGTTAGAATAATCAAAAATGCTTTAGACCACTAATTAGTGGTGGCTCTAATGATGTGGCAGTGGGTGGGACCCACTGCCACATGTGTTTTGTGCCTTTTTTTTTTTTTTTTTCTTTTTTTTTTCAATTGCCACCTCACTAGTGGTGGTATTAGTGATGGTAAATTAGTGGTCTATAGCATTGCTCTAGAATAATATAAGAATTTGTGAAAAACAAATAAAAAGAAAAAGAAAAATGAATGAAATATGAGTTAAATATTTGTGAGTTACATTTTTTTTTTTCTCTTTTTACTTCGTAATTTTTTAAATACTTAAAATTTCTCTTACAGTGCAACTTTTGTAGACTACAAAAATTTGTTACTTTCGCAGGATAAAGCGTATATAATTTGGTGAATTATATTAATGGTTCTTATAGTTTGAGATTTATATCATTTTGATTTTTAATTTTTTAATTGTGACATATTTAATCCTGAATTTTGAATCTCATTTTAAATAAGGACAATTAAAAATATCATTAGATTTTTCAAGAGCAAAATCGTCAATTTGATAAAATATAAACTAATTTGACAAAAATGTCAAAAAAATATTTTGCATTTTAAAAAATTATTTTTACCCAATAAAGATAAAATTTTGTAAAATTGATAAATCTTTTAGACATTTATTTATTTATTTTTTTATCAAATTAATTTTTATTATGTGTTTTGATGATCATTATGTAAAATTAACATGTGATTTTTATTAATTTTTATTAATTTTATATTTTTTGACATTTATTTTTGTCAAATTAGTTTATATGTTCTTAAATTGACTATTTTGTCCTTAAAATTAAGCAATAGTTTCTTTAATTGTCCTTATTGGAAGAAGATTCAAAATTGTGGACAAAAATGACACAAATCCCAAACTATAGGGACTGTTAGTGTAATTTGCCATATATAATAACATTTTCCAGCTTTCTAAGGCTCCGCTTGTTTTCAAATAAAATATTTTATTCCGCTTGTTTTCAAATAAAATTTTATACAAAAAAAAAAAAATATTTTTCTAGTAACTTAATTTTACACCAAAAAAATGTCGTTATTTTATTTTTTGGCATTTAATTGACACTTGATATAAAAATATTTTATAAAAGAGAATTTTAATTCAATAAAAATGTCCTTTATGATTTTTTAGTAAGTTAAGATATTTATTTAAAAATATTAAATGTGTTAAAAATATAATGAGTGAGAGTCAATTTTATAATTTTTAAAGATAAGTCATTTTTAGAAAAATAATGCAAAAATATATTTTTAAAAAATGTTTTACGTACTTCTTGTTCAACCAAATAACGAAAAATGAGTAAATTAAAATAAACGAAACTTAATACAAAATTATTTTAAACTCTTAAGTAGGGATGTAAGAAAAATTAAAAAAATTGACCAAACCGATTGAATCCGACCCAACAAGCTATATTTGATTTGTTTTTTTTTAACAAAAATTGGTTTGTACGATTTTTTTAATTTAATGTTTTTTAATTTTTGATTCAATATCGGTTCAAGTACCTTATACACCGAACTAAACCTAAATCGACTACTTCAACA